AGAGAGAGAGAGAGAGAGAGAGAGAGAGAGAGAGAGAGAGAGAGAGATAGGCTCTCATTAAAACTGGGCTTTACCATTTTGGCTAGACTGAATGACTAGTGAGCTGGGGCCTCAGGCCTGCTCTGCCACCTCCACCACCAAGCTCCATCCCCAGCAGAAAAATTCTGCCTGCAGGAGAGCCCTTTATATTTAGTGACGGACACCATACAGTCCTGTGTCACACGGTTCCAATGCCCTGTCCTTATGGTTGGATGTCTCTGTTTTGTGCAGGGGTGCATTCTCCGAGGAGGATTCCCAACTAGTTGTAAATTACAGAGCAAAGAAGTCCTTCTGTCGGCGAGCCATTGAGCTTACCTGTGAGTTGAGTTTTGATTCACTTTTTGGCAAAAGTTAAAATAGTGGAGACCCAAGATAAGTCTTTAATGAATGCTAAGAGATGAGAATGGAAGAAAAACACATATATGTATGTATTTTTCTGACATGTATATACACACATATGTATGTACACACACACATACATGCATGGGTTTTTGTTTTCTGAGACAGGGTCTCACTATGTAGTCCAGGCTGGCCTCAGACTCATGATCCTCCTGTCTCAGCCTCCTGAGTGCTGGCTTACTGGAGTTGAGAAATGAATTGAGTATCCACAGCCTCATGAAACACTGAGGAAAAGAAAAACCTTGTGGCTGATGGGAAATGGGGCAGAGATCAGAGGTCAGAGGTCAAAGGTTTAAAGGAGCAGTGAATTTACCCGTCCAGCCTCACCTCCTGTTATCCTGGCCACTCACTCAAAGGAGATGGATAGTCTGCCAAGTTATACTGGCAGGCTTGGATTTTGCTGAGTGGGAGTTGGGGTTTCTGGTTTGTGGGGAGGGTAATAGAACATAGTCTGATGGGGTCCAGGCCACTATGAATCAAAACGTATTTGATGGACATATTTAACTATGTTTCTAACATAAGATATTTTTACCTTTAGATGTCTCTGTTCTTGCATTTAACAATTATTCATTTAGATTGTTTTCCTCTCTATTGGAGAACAAACTGAGTGATTTTTTTCCGAGGAGGGAACATCTCCTTTCTGAGGCTCTTCTCTTTCAAAGGTTCCTCATGCCCCAACCATAGCTCAGGGCGAACCATCTTCCAGCTTGTCATTAAGTGGGTCTCTCTCTAACGCTGCCCATCTGCTTCAGACATTATATTTACCACATCCTTGCTGTAGACAACCTTATTCTCCAGTCCCCTGAAGTACCTGATGTCTTACTTAAAATGAGGTGCCAATTACCACATGTACCAGGACAGTTTATTCTCTGGATATTTCCTGTGCTCCACTTATCTTCTTCTCTGGCTGGCATGGGAGGGTAGGAGGCATAGCCTGATGGCTCTTTTCTATGCCACAAATAGACCTATAGAATCCAGCAGCATGTGCTCACTGCTCTGTTTCCCTAACCCCTTTCAAGTCCAAAGCAGACTTCTTCTGCGTGAATCTCAGTGCAGACAGCTGCTATCACGAAAAGGGAAGGGAAGTGTGGGTCTCATTTTTATAGCTGTTTGTAGATGGTCTTACCTTGAAGGATTAATGTTATTGCCCCCCCCCCCCCCGTCACAGTTCAAAGTTAGGCAAGTGTGTAACTATGACACAGGACTTCCATATACGCCTGCTTCTGTTTACTGGAGAAAGCACACGGCGGATTCTCACTCACACGGTCACTCCTCTCATAGTGCATAGCCTGGGAGTGAGCGAGGAGCTGCAAAGTAAACTCGAGGACGTTGTGATCGACAGAAGTCTTCTCGTTCTTGGAAAAGTTCTGGGGGAAGGTAAGCTGGCTGCTTTAAAGTGATTCTTTTAAGACTTGAGACAAAGCAGTTGAGGAATTTGTGTGTGTGTGTGTGACAGAAATTATATTTTATTTGATTGCTTTCCCCCTTTTACATCCAGTTTCTTTAGTACAAGAAACTATCTTAACTATTAAAAAAATAACCTATGTTTGATAAGAGAATGACAAGCTGAGTAAGGCTTTAATTTCAATAGGTAGATCTCTATGGGTTCTAGCTTGGTCTATGTAGCACATACTAGGTCAGGAAAGGCTACATAGTGAGATCTTGTTTCAAAAAAAAAGGCGACAAAGGAGATGAAATAAATATAAAAGAATTTACAGTACTGATATATAGCATTCATAAAGAATTATGAAGGCACACTTACAGTATTGCAGTTTTTATTCTTATAGGTGTACACATAATCATATGTGGTACTTATCTCTTTGAAATTTTATTTGTGAGTCGTGTGTGTGTGTGTGTACATATATGAACAGTTCCTCTACTCATTCCATATTCATTTTGTCCACAATTTATTATGGTTTCTGGTCTGATGAGATGACTCAAGTCTAGATTCCGGAGAGATCTGGGTCATTCACGTTTCTGTGTGAGTTGGGATTAAGTTGAGGAATTTTTTTTTTAACGTGTATTCATTGAATAAAATATCAATGTTATGACTTGGAGTTATAATACAAATAACTCCTCCTTTAGAGCTTAAAATGAAACAGGAGAATTTTGAAACTCAGATCTGACACACGTAAGAGGCATCTGCAGTCTCTGGAACAGAGTAAGCTTCAGAAGTGTGAACACCCTTCCTTTATTGCAAAGCATGTGATTCATTGGTTATTATTTATTATTATTATTATCTATTTATTGATTGGCATTCTATTCACTTTAAGGCATTGATCTACTTAAGTTGATGAAAGTGTATACTAAATTTTAAAATTGTTTTAGCAGGAATGGTAGTGTTATTAAATTTGTGCTTTGGGCTGGCAATGTAGTTCAGTGGTGAGTGCTTCCTAACTGTGTACAAAGTCCTGAGTTCCGTCATAGCACTTGGGCTGTGAAAAATACTGTTTTATGGTTTTTGGTACTATCTCCCATGTTTTCCTATAAGTATCTTGAGTCAGTTATAATGGTTGGTGAAGTGACAAGCTAAGTTAAGTCTGCACTACTCAAACTCACAGTGCCGGTGTACACACGTGGTATGCACGTGTAAGAGGTCTGAGCAGGCTCTGCCCGGTATCTGTGGATGACTCGCTCCAGGACCACACAGATCTGCAGTTCTGTGGCCAGGCTAGCGTCTGCACAGCATTACATAGATACTGCTTCACTTCACAGGAGAGTTCGGGTCTGTAATGGAAGGAAATCTGAAGCAGGAAGATGGGACTTCTCAGAAGGTGGCGGTGAAGACCATGAAGTGTGAGTTCCTGGCGTGGGACCTGTTCTTCCAGGGTAGACAGTTACCCCAATGTCAGGTGCTCCTTGTAGAACAGTGGTTGTGCTCTATTCTCAGTCACTGATGGATCAGTGGCAATCAATGTGGGAGCATGGTCACCAGCAGAAGGTACAGGACGAGCTCTCTGTGCACACATCCATTGTATATTCTTCATGTTTAAAACAGCATTGTCCACTTGGGAGGCAGAGGCAGGCGGATTTCTGAGTTCGAGGCCAGCCTGGTCTACAGAGTAAGTTCCAGGACAGCCAGGACTACACAGAGAAACCCTGTCTCAAAAAAACAAAAACAAAAACAAAAACAAAAACAAAAAAACAGCATTGTCTCTTCCACCAACTCTATCTTAGTCTCCCTCACCTTCCATTACCAAGTACAGCTAACGATCCCGAAGTGAGGCATGAGTCCTGAAGGCAGAGGGATCTAGTGTTAGCATCTGACCCCTGTGGGGCCACTTTCTAGGACTAGTTCCCACATGAATTATACCACCCTGGTTATCAAAGATTGAAAGAACAGCCTTGACTTCAGAATCTCCTCATAGTTCAGGGGCAGAGTACTCACCTAGCCTGCATAAGGCCCTGGGTTCGATGTCAAGCACTGTGGAACATAAAATAAAAACCAGGTCATTTCAAAGAGAGCTTGTTAGACTCTTAACCAAGAGCCCTTGACATTGTGACCAAAGATTGAGGTTGTCCACAGGGTGATATGGTCACTCAGAGTGCTATTTTTCTGAGGAGACAAAAAAAAAAAACCCTGATGATGTGGTGAAATAAATGTATGTCTCAAATTTACTATGGAAAAGAAAGACTCCTTTCTTTTTTTTTTTTTTCAAAGAGAGCCCATTGGCCTGGGGTTGGTCCTTGGGGAAGAGTTTACAGACAGACCTCAGAACAACTGAGCAGAAAGTCCAGTCACCATAAGTTCCCTGTCCCCTCACCCACAGCTTCTCTTTAATGCTATAAGCAACCATCTTTGATTAGTCTATTGTTCAACTGATGGACTCACACACATGTATCATCAACGGAAGCTGTTTGCTTTCACTTGTGTCCACTGTTGGTCTTGTATAGTTCTCTGGTGTTGGACAAATGCATGAATGATGTATGTACCCCATATGGTATCATACAGAACAGTTGTGCAGCCCTAAAAATCCTTCGGGTTTCACCACTGACTTCTCTCCTTCCAGCCCTCAAACACTGACAAGTGTTCCTTCCTCTCTCTATAGTTTAGGAGTTTCTATTTTTGTTTGAAAGGAGGATTTGTTTGTTTGCTTGTTTTCTTTTGTTTGCTTTTAGAGAAAGGTCTTGCTCTATAGTCCAGGCTGGCTCTTGAATTCTTCCTCAACTTTCCCACAGTGAATGCATCGTGAAGCCTGGTGTGGTTTTTCATTTTACTAGACAGAAGTGCCGTTCCTTGCCCCCACCCCTGCATTGCTGTTGCTGGCCCCTTCCCTTTAACGGAATACAATGATCACCCCTTGAATTTTCATCTGTTCCTCTAGTGGACAACTTTTCTCAACGGGAAATCGAGGAGTTTCTCAGTGAAGCAGCGTGCATGAAAGACTTCAATCATCCAAACGTCATCCGGCTTCTAGGTACCTCAGGGAGATGCCAGGCCGCGGCTGGGGGTGGGCTTTGCTGACCCGTTGTGTGCCAAAAGGGAAAAAGTCCCAGTATAAAGAGGTTCATACCAAAATTTACAATACTAGGTTTGTCCTACTGTCTGAGGCTGAGAGTAAAAATGGGTTTGTGTTTCCTGGGCGCTGATGGAGTTAGCCTTCTGAGTGTGCTAAGTCAGAGACACGGAAAAATGGGTTTGTGTTTCCTGGGCACTGATGGAGTTAGCCTTCTGAGTGTGCTAAGTCAGAGACACGAGAGTCGCTCATGTGATAGTCTTTGTTGAGTGGAGGTTCTCTGTGAATTGAAAACCAGTGAAATCAAGCTATAAACAAAGACATCTCTCTAAATAGTCTTTGAGAAATAATTTACAAACCAACTTGTGAGTCATGGCACATTGACTATCTCAGATATGACTGAATATAATTCAGCTTTATATAAATATCTCTATGGAAAAAAATCTATAGACATGAGTATCAGTGCATGAAGTGTAAGAGACACTATTCTGAGTTAAACAATCTGGAAATAGTGGGGTTTTTTTCTTCCCTGCCCTTTACCTTAATCCATAATAAAATTTTGAGCAACCTTTCAAGGTTCTACAGGGCTAATGCTGCAAAGAGGTCTGAAAGCTAGGGTTTGGGTAAAAATCTCATGTCAAAGAAATAGCTATTGTTTGCAGTTAGTGGCTTTAGCAGACTAGGAGAGACATTGGACTTTGCTTGACAGATTACACTTTGCAAGCCTAGGATCGGGTGATGGTCTCCTTCTAGAATTCCATACTAACAGACTGCAACTTCAATCACTGAAAGTTTAGAAAGAGAGGTGTTGCCGACAGGCCCTCAAAAATGCTTAATAACTTTAAACATCTGGTTATAGTAGACTTTTTCATATGGATGTTTAGCTAGTTTGTCTTCAGGTTCTCTGAGGTCTCCACCCCTCAGTCATTCAATCTAACAAAAATAGATCACAGAATCCTTGACTTACAGTCGTCTTTTCTTGTGACATATTGATTTATGAGAGTTGCCTTGCAAACACTAGCCAGAGAGAGAGAGAGAGAGAGAGGGAGAGAGAGAGAGAGAGAGAGAGAGAGAGAGAGAGAGAGAGAGAGAGAGAGAGATCATGCAGTTTGCAGGTATTACATATCCTAGAATACACTGTGAGAGTCCCAAGCTTTTGGTTTTCACCTCTTGGCCTGTTAGCACATGGCTCCAATTTGGCCAGTGGGCCTCCAGGGTTTATGTGTTCATACCTAACAAGGGTTCTTTGTAACTTGTCCTGTTTTCAATTTCAGGCGTGTGTATAGAACTGAGCTCTCAAGGCATCCCGAAGCCCATGGTAATTTTACCCTTCATGAAATACGGAGACCTCCACACCTTCCTGCTATATTCCCGGATAGAAACAGGACCGAAGGTAACAGGCTGCTTGTGCTGCCTCTCAACTGTTTCTGAAGCTTTTATGACAGCTGGGACAACCCTGGTATCAACCCTGAAAATACAGAGGACACTGGCCTCAGTTCAGAATTCATTATGCACTCAGGGGTTAAACTATGGTCTCCATCCTCTCGCCAGGCCTATGAGTGAGTGTTTGTCCCTGTTCATGGTGGGAGGAAGCCAGCTGGTTCCACAATCTTGGGCCAAAGTCTCCTTGACTGCCATCTATGAAGCGTTTACTCGCTGGTAAAGGCAGCTCTCCTAAGGAGATGTGTTTTGTACATTTGAGATAAGTTTATATTATTAGCCCAGGCCAGCCTCCTGAACGCAGGAATGATGAGCTTATTCTTGTCCTACCCAGATCTCCTGAAGCACATTTTTCACAGTCCTTGTTGGAGTCATGGGGTTGAGCCTTTGAAGTGTGAAATATTTATTTGTGAGTGTATCCTCTATGGTCCGTATTAAGATGGGTTGTAGGTAGATATGGCGAGGTGAGGGGACCCAGCTGCCACCCTTGTATCCTGGTACTTCCCGAATTGACTAACACCATGAGAACCACACTACCCTGGCAATTTGGGTCATAGCCAGAGAGCCAATGGTGGGTCATCTCAGAGATTTAGGAGCACAAATTTAAAGGCTTGCTCTCTTTACGGTCAGTTTTTACTGTGGACTTCAAATATTGTAGATTTTGGGAGCTTGCACTGGAGACATTGCCGTGGGCCTCCTTATGAAGCAAGCACTGTGTCCTTTCTTCATGTTCCCTCTAGGCAGAGTGACTGGCGCCTATGAGCAGGAGCTGTTGTGTCCATGGCATGCTTAGCCTGGTCCATCATCCCTCTCCATTGGTTCACTTCATTGTCTGAGGTGACAGCATTACTGCAGGGCATCCACAAGGGGAAAATACGGGGCTGACACTCTCAGGAATCATCCTAGATCCAGACAGAATTTACTGCGAGCCAACAATGTCCCCAGTCATTGCTGCCCCAAAAATGCAGGTTGTGGGAAGGAGCTGTACCAATCGGTCGATACCTGAGTGTCCTCTAACACAGCTGCCTCTGTCCCCTTAGCTGCCACCAACAGCGGAGCTCTAGGGAATGTAACTGCAGACAAGTGGTGTAAGTTTTCCTTTCAGGTTTCATGCTTTGGCTGTCGTACCTGAAAACTCTTTACTAACCCCTTGTTTAAATTGCCTTTTTCCTGCTGCTTTCAAAAACCAGCAAATTCAAAAAGTTGAATTTTACATGTTGTATTTGAGTATTCAGTTTGTTTTGAGTCATTTTTTATACAAGGTCTGAAATTTAGTTTAGGGCTTTTTCAGTTTATCATCATCATCATCATCATCATTCTTTTCTTGGCCAGGATCTCATGTAGCCCAGGCTGACTTCTAACTCTCTATATAGACAAGGATGACCATTACCTTCTGATCTTCATGTCTCTGTGTCTAGCTCCAGGGTTCTGGATTACAGGTGTTTGCCACCATTCCCCATTCCCGTGGTGCTGGGAGTAAGCCTAGGACTTTTTGCATGCTTTTGTAACCACTCTACCAATTAAGCTACATCCTGACCCTGAGATCCTTCTGAGTGGTTGATTTTGTGTATGATTGGTCATCATTTATGAGAAGGCCACCTTTAATCTGCTAAATTGCTTTCCCACCTCTATCAAAACTCATCGGGCCACACGCACACTGCGGGTCTATTTCTGAGCCCTCCATGTGGTCATAAAACTCTACACATCCTCCGTTCCCACCCATTGTCTCAAGTACTGAAACTTTTCTGTAAGTTTTAACACCACAGAGTGTACTTCTCCTGGCTTTATTTGGCGTTTTTTTTTTTAAACACACACCCCTGCTTCTTTGCTTTCCTACCCCATCCCCCACCCCACCCCCAATGTGTGCTTCAACAGTTCCACATCAACTGGCAAAGGCTCTGCTGTAATCCTTTGTCCTTTTAAACAAAATATCAAGTAAGACAAGCAAGCACACAGGACTTTCTTGACTCATTATTTCCACTCGCAACAGTATCAGGGTGTCCTCAGTGGTGGAGAATGACTCCCCAGTGTTACAGGGACATAAAAGGAGTGTATTTTTATATTTTGATATTCTGTAGCCCGAGATAAAGATGGAAGACACAGAGCTCATGGAGTGGCTGGGATACGGAGCTTTTATTCAGACCGCTTCTTTGCTTCCTCTGCAGTCAGTTCCCTGGACATAAAGACCTTTTGTTCTGACCCTAGATTAAGTCTCAGGGCTTGTCAGTGAGCTTCTGAATAGGGCCTGGATTCTGGCTCCAAGTGTCACTGTGCTCAGCACAGACAGTGTCTCTGGAGATCTGCAAGGCAGGTAGGCAGGTGATCAGCACCAACCTCAGCATCTCACGGAGGATGGCTGCTGGTATGACATATGCATCTGGGGAAGGAAGGAGTTCTGACTGGAGAAGCTTTAATAGTCCATGGTGCCAGTGGTGGGAAGAAAAACGAGAGAGGGGGAAGCATGCAGTCAGGATGGGAGCAGAAGATGGAAGAGCATACGCATTGTAGGAACCTCGGGTGTTCTCCAAAGATGATTATAGGGACCTTGGGGCAAGGGCAAAGCAGGGGAGGATGGATGTGGAGGAGTACAGCAGGGGAGGATAAACAGGGAGGAGCTATAGCAAGGGAGGATGGACGGGGGGAGCTACAGCAAGGGAGGATGGACAGGGAGGAGC